TTCTTATTAAAGTTAAAAAATAGAAAATAAACAGAGCTGTGAATACAATTTAGAGATCAATAAAGAAAAAATAAAGAAAACTTATACTCATATTCTTAATACTTATCATACTTAATCTTCTCACAACTATCAATTTCTCTCTTCAAAGAAGCAGAGAGTATTATACTCATAGTACAGATAATTGTTGTATTTGATATAAAGACTGTCAGAAATGCACAGACTTCAGAGAAGTCAGATATCAGAGTATGTATAGTTATGACAGAATCTTGAGAGCTAACTGTCTGTACATGTGACTAGATATCTCTTATAAAACTGTGTCTGCTCTCTCAGTTATACTGAAGTATTCAGTCTGAAAACAATTGAGATGTGAAGAGAAGGCTTATCTGTTCAGATCAACTCTTATTATGAATTCATAACATTTACATTATCTTAATTATTTGAATTTTATAAGTATCTGAAGACTTATCTCTCATTGACAATGAGATTGCAGAAATATGCTGCAGTGTGAGAATCATTGATAGAGAATCTAAACATATTTGCATATACCTGATCAGAGATTGTATAAGTAGAAGAAGAGTGATCATAGGTCTGCAGAACTGCAGAAGATACTGATAACACTGAGAGCTTTGCAAGAATTATTAGCTAGAGTCTGTAAGAAATTATTATTATTATTATTATTCTTCAATTATAGATGTATGCAGTCAGAGACTATGACATCTACCTGAGAACTTTAGTTCTCAGGGTTTTTTCTATGTCTGTAAAGTTAACTATTATACATTCATCAATTTCAGATATGCAAAATCAGAAAATTCCAGCCCAGAATACAAAAACTGTTTACAAATTGCAGTGTTTTAACATCTTTTGATACTTTGAAATCATTTGACAATATCATGACAAAAGAAAAGAGAAAAAGAACACAGTCTCAAAGATAGACACATTAAATAAATAGATAGAAAGAAATTGAAAGAAAAAGATAAAGAAAAAGATAAAGTAAAGAGAGACTATAACAAAACAAATTATTAAAAGAGAGTGTATAGCTGTTTTAACAGACTATATCTGATTTATTTCCTCCTCTTCATACTCAGATAATTCTGAATTTAGCCATTTTCTTGTAGCTGCTTGAGTTTCTGATAGAAAGTCTATTAAGTATTTAATTCCTGTCTCAGTTGAGAATAAGAATCTCATATTTAATTGATTTAGATCATACTTCTCTTTTAATCTGGCTCTGAGACTATTGTATAATGCACAGTGCATTACAATATGCTCAGAATTCTCATTTGTATTGCAGAATGAGCATTCTATTGAGTCAAATCTATCATCAAATCTTTGTATATAAGATTTGAAATAGCCATGTCCTAGTTTCAGCTGTATTATAGATGAGAATATTTTCTTTTTACATTTAATTGAACAAGATTTCCACTTGGGTTTTGTTTCAAATCTTGAATAATGTATACTCTTCTTTTGTTTCTGCCAGCTTTCATTCCACTTGTCTAAACAAGATTCTTTTATTTTTCTCTTTATAAAAGACCAGGACATAATTTTTTGAATAGATCTGCTTAATTCTGCACCCTTTTTTGCAGCTGAATCAGCCAATTCATTACCATGAATATTCATGTGAGCAGGAACCCAGTGTAGATGAATTATCAGCTTTGATGTTCTTCTCTTTTGAATTTTCAAAACAGAGTTTAAGATCAGTTCAAGATTCATTTGATCATTATGAATCTGACTATTTCTAAGTCTTTTTAAAGCAGCTTGACTATCAGAGAATATCCATGCCTCTTTCAAACAATTTCCTCTTTTATGAGATTTTATTTCAATGAGTTTGAAAGCTTTCACTATTGCAAATAGTTCAGCATCAAAGACTTCACATTCAGAGCCTAGATTCCAGAAATCTGAGATAAAATTAATATTATCTTCAGTATAAGCAATGCCTGCGCCTAATCTATTCAAGTTCTCATTTTTTGAGCCATCTGAATAAACCAGAATAGAGTCTTTTATATTGATTGTAGAAATTCTCTTCAAATGCTGTTCATATTCTTTCTCTTTTGATAGTTCACTTATTTGTAAGTCTATAAGAGATTCAAGCTTTTCTCTCCAGGGAGATAACTTCTCATGATCAACTTTTTCAACATTTAAAGAAGAAAATTGATTTTTAATCAGAGAGCATAGTCTGTACAGTTGAGAAGGCATTTTCTTTGAAGAATTATTTTCATTCCAATCAAGAAATCTATTCCAATCCAGTTCATTTCCAGAGTTAATTGGTGGAAATGAAGAAGAGACTCTTTCTCTGATTATATGATTTGAGCTCATCTTTACAACTCTCAGAGCATAGTTCATACAGGCCTTTTCAAATCTAATAGCAGGAGGAGGAATTGAAGCTTCAATTTCCATTGCTTTAATAGGAGATGATTTGAATGCTCCTAGAATTCTTCTCAAGGCTCTGTTTTGCAGACTTTGAAAGAGTTCAGTGAAATTCCCTTGATTATTCCACCAAACTTGAACTCCATAATCAGCTACTGATGTGATACAGGCTATATATAACTGTCTCATAGCCTGAAAGGATAGACCTCTCTCTGTATTTGATAGTCTGATTATGTTGTTCAATAGTCTTTCTGCCTTGACAGTTCTTTGTTGAATGTGATATTTAAAATTCAACTTGGAGTTTAACCATACTCCTAACCATTTGACATTTACACTGGGTTTAATCTCTCTATTTAAAAGAGTTAGAGATAGTTCTTTCTCATTGAGTCTAGGAAAGAAATGAATTAACTCAGTTTTATCCATATCAAATTGAATTTGATTGATATCTGCTCTAACAAAGATTTCCTTTGCAGCTTCTTCAATTACTTTCAAATTCTCTTTGATAGTTTTTGAGCTGTAGACTAGACCAATATCATTCATATAACTCAGAGATCACACTATTCTCATATTTCTATTTTTGAATAGATATGCAGTATATATTGCAAATAAAATGGGTGAGATTGGAGATCCCTGTGGTACTCCTATTTTTATCTCAGTCTTGTCTTGTTTCATTCCATCAAAGAAGAGTTGTATAATTCTTTTAGACATAAAACAGTTAACCCATTTTATTAGAGAAAGTGGCAGTTTTAATATCTTCAATGTCTGAATTAACTTTGACTTTGAAACATGATCAAATGCTCCCTTTATATCAATAAAAACTGCAGTTGAGACCAGACCCTCATGCTTTGCTATTTGAATATCATGAACAACTGAGAGAACAGTGTCAATTGCAGAACACTGTTTTCTACCTCTCATTTGTTCACTGAATAAAAGAGAATCATCTATAGAGCTTATAAAAGATAGTTGAGTAGCTATTATCTTTTCTAAAACCTTTCCTAAACAGTTCAATAGAGATATTACTCTATATGACTTAGGAATTGAAGTTTTTCTATTAGGTTTTGCAAGAATCACTCCAGTGGCTTCTCTCCAGCATTCAGGATGATATCCATTTTTCAAGAGATTGAAAAAGAGCTCAAAATATTCATTCTTTAAGTAGGAATATGTATTTTGAATAATCAAGTGATTAATTGAATCAGGACCTGCAGCAGTTTTAACAGAACTTGAGAAGATAGCTGACTCTAATTCATCTTGTGTAAGATCAGGCCATTCCCAGTCATTTTCATCAATGTAGTTGAGAAGTGATATATTCTCTTCCTCTGAATCTGAGTCTGAGTCTGATGAGTTCTGAAAGAGAATTCTCATGAAAGCTTGACATTTTTCCTCAAAAGAGTTTGCTGTATATGATTCATTCTGAAACTTATATTCTAAGGCTGGAAGTTTTGCTACACTTCTTGTTTTAGTATAGTTAAAAGCTTTAAAAATTTCCTTCCCTTGTGCTTCTTCAAGAAATTTATTCCAGCAGTCTGTTTTAGCTCTTTTGATATCTGAAAAATATTCATTTCTGACAGCTTTGAACTCTTCATCAGATATTACATCATTTTTCCAATCTCTTCTAGCAGTAGCTAATTCTTTCCTTTTAGATGAGATATTCTCATTCCACCAAGGTTTTGAATACTCAGAAGATTTTCTTTTTGGAATATTATCTCTAACACTTGTTAGAATAATAGATGTAATAAGCTTCACTCTATTCTCAAGCATTTCATTTGAGATATCTTGACCAGAATTCCAATATAGCTCATTCTGTCTTTCAGATTTTAGCAGTTTTATGCTTTCTTCAACTGCTTTCCAATCAGCTTTTTCAAAGTTATACTGATTAGAGAGAAGAGGATTTTCACTCATTTGTTTTTCACTCAGTTCAATATCAAATTGAATAATCTCATGACCTGATCCTGATGTCTCATTTGAATCAATAAACCAGTTTACAAGTCTTCTTTCCATTAGATTTTGTGACATGAAGGTTAGATCTATAATAGACTTCTGTTTCATGCCTTTTCTAAAGAATGTTTGTTGATCAGACTTATTAACCAAATCTATTGAATGCTCAAAGGTCCATTCAATCAGATTATCAGCTCTCACTGCTCTCTTGCATTCTGAATTCCACCAGGGATGATGTGCATTGAAATCTCCTGCAATTATAGAGTTTCTTGATGGAGTTATGTTCAGAAATCCTCTATCAATTGTCCAGATATTGTTATTTTCCTTCAATGACTTTTCATTATAGATATTTATGAGCTGTATAGTATCAAACTCATTTTCTTTATCTATAATATCACCCACCAGAATATCAGGGTCAGACATGATATCAAATCTTAGATTAAATTGATATCTTGATCTCTTTCTTCCATAGATCACTACTCTTGACTTTATCTCAGACTTTTGAGGTAAAAAGCAGTAGTAGCTTGAATGAGAAATAACATATTTTTGCTCAGCATCAAAATTCGGCTCCTGAAGCAGTATAAAATCAACTTTTTGTTCAAATGCAATTTGAAGACAAGAATAAATACAATTTGAGTTTCTATCCACATTATTTTGAATAAATGTGATTTTTGAAGAGTTTTTAAACTTTTTTTGTTGTTTTTGTTGTATATTCATACTAAAAGAGAGTAGAGTAGAATCTAATCACTATCATCAGATAGTAGATTATAACTGTTCTGAAAAGTAGGAATCTCAACTGCTTGCATTATATCTAGTTTATCACCAGAGTCATTTCTCAATTCTCTAATCTTAACAGGAGTTTGAGGATTCAAGTTCTGTTTACATTTAGCTGGAGAGTTGGAGTTTGAAGACTTAGATAGTTGAGAGTTTCTTCTTTTTGAGCTTGCAGTTGTGAGTTTACTGGCTTGACTCTTCTCTTCAGTTCTAGATTGACTTTGAGCTTCATCTTTTCTCCAGTTCTTTTGAGTTCTAGGAGCAAACATACATTCTTTTGAGCTAGATGCATGTTTTTCTTTGCAATTAGAGCACTTAAGCAGAGTGTGTTGACAAATTTCACCTCTTTTTGAGCATGTTTCACATTTATGCTCACTAGTTTTGTGATCTCTGGCACAGAATGCACATTTTGAGTCTCTAAAACATGAGATTGCAAAGTGTCCATATCTTTGACAGTTTGAACACTGTGTTTGAGCTTTGAGGTTCATCCTTGAGTCTTTGTATTCATGAACTCTCATTTTCAAACCTGCTACTCTTACTTCAGAGATCTTTGACTGTTCAAGTGTTTTTGTATATACTAGAACAGAGGCATTTCTCCTGCTTTGTCTGAACTCAATTGAATTTAGCCATACAGGCTCCTTTCTCAGTTGAATAGAGTTGTATTCTTCCAATTCATTTTTGAGAAGTAGCATTCCTTCTTCACAGTCAAAAATTTCAACTGAAATATCATGAAGAATGAATTTGCCCCACTTTTCATCTCTTTCAGATAGAATTGTTGTGTTTAACAAAGATTCTACTGCTGACTTCCAGAGATTCTCATTCTGAATAAGGAATTCAGCACTGAATTCAGGCATTGTAGTCAGAATGATGGAGTTTTCAAAGAATGATGATTCAATTGAAGCTATAACTGGTTTTTGAACTTCAATATCAGTCATTAACTGAGAAAAGAACTGCTGGTTAATTTCATTTCTGATTCTGAAAATGAGATTTGAGTTTAGCTTGTTTCTTTGCAGAATGTCCTGATTTGAGACTTTGAGAATAAGTCTTCTATTTCTGAAGATTTGGAAGTTTTTCTCTTTTTGCATTTTCTTTTCCACTTTTCTATGAATAGAGGCATGAGCAGTATTCTTCTCAGTTTTCTCAGAATTTTGAGCAGGTTTTGAGACAGTAGGTTTAGAGACAGCAGGTTTAGAGACAGCAGATTCAGCTGCTTGAGCATATGTTTTCTTCTGATTCAAAGAAGGAGAAGAAGAAGAAGTAGAAAAGAAAGAAGAGCAAACTGAAGAGTCAGTGATTGTATTAGAAATTTTCAAAGTTTTTTGAACTGTGTTTGAAATTCCAAGTTTGAACTTGATCACTTCCTGTAGTTGTCTAGCCTGAGCATGAAGAATTAACAGAACTTCTTCATTCATCTCACTCAGACACTGCTTTCCAAGAATTTTACTTGCTTTTTCAAGTTCCTGTATTTCAAGAACTTGTTGTTTCTCTATCTCTTCTTTCTTTCTTCTCTTCAGAATTTCAATCTCAGGAATAGCATTTGAGAAAGCATCTTTTTCCACATCAACTGAGTGTACTTTTGAACTCATTGTTCTTACTCAATGAAAAGTTGGTCAGACTAATTCAATTGAGATATTTATTAAACTCTTTTGAATTGAAAAGTTGGTCAGACTGTTTCAATTAAGAGGTTTCTAAGTCTGTTTTCAATTGAAAAGTTGGTCAGACTATTTCAAAAGAAGAATCGCAGACTTTTGTGTATAAAACACCTGATTTTTTTCACACTAGTTCAGTAACTAGGTTAGATTTTTGAAGAGAATCTAATAAACTAAAATTGATTTTTAAGATAAATCAATAAAATCTTTACAATCTCTTTCTTGGGATACAGTGAGGAAAAGTATGATATCAATTGATAGTAAATCAGATGATATGACAGTTTTTGAGAGAAAAACTGACAAAAAATAAATCAATTTTTTGAAGAGAAATTGATTAAAACTATTCAATTTTATTCTAAATTATCCAATTCTCCTCGCACAACAGGTGTGCAACTCAAATCAGTTAATAAAGAGTGTAAAAAAGAATTAAGTATTAATGAAAGCTCTTCAGCCACTGAAAAAGTAATTCTTACTTAAAAGAATATGAAATTATGACAGAAAACAACTCTGTTTTTAATTCTTTGTAAGAATATTGTGTAAAACCCAGAGAAAAACACCTTACTTTTTTAAGAGAAGTAAAAAACTATTTCTAAAATCTTTTTTTTGCATTAACTGCTGCAGAAGAATGAGATAGAAACTGCTAAGATATGCACTACTGTATACCCCCTATCAAGACTTTCCCTCTTCAGGGTCTTGATATTATAGAGAATATAAGTCTGTTTCTATATGATAATATAAATATTGCCAGCAGGATGTAGAGGAACTGGTTATTTATATCTCAAAATAGAAGACTTTGTCAATGATTATATCAATATAGAGTTAATTCTCAAATTCAATAGAAACCTAGTGTTGCTGTTCTCAATCCCTTGCAGAATCTATTGAATATTGAGGTATTAAAACTAGATTTAATATATCTCACTGTGCAGGGATCAAAGGCTCAGTCAGACCTTGGGGTATACTGATTTTATAGTTGTCGTGTCTGCCGATTATGTATTGAGTACAGTTGCTGAGGTATCTTTTTGTACTTTTCTGTCGGGGATGGGCCAGATTGAGAGGGGTGGTACGAGGGCGAGACTTGGCGTTGATGTTCAGATACACTGAAGACAGACCGCGGAGGTTGCACTTCAGAAGTGGCCGTTGGTTATGTGCTTGATATTATCGCCGAGGTATCTTTTTGTATTTTTCTGCCGGGGATGGGCCAGATTAGGAAGGGCGGTACAACGGTGGGACTTGGCGTTGGTGTTTTGGAACATCAAAGATGGACAGGGTTTTCGCGGAGGTCGCTCCTCAGATATCTCCACAACTACAGATCGGGGATCTTCCAAAATCGAGAAGATTGGTGCATATGGCTAGGTCTCTTCACCTTACAATTTGTATGGCACTTTGGCCCGGGGTTGTGGTGTGGTAGGGGAGAACGGGGGATACTCCCACACAGGAGTTTTGAACAACGTCCGGTTCACGTTTGGCTGGATAACTCCACCACCACACAGGGTATGCGGTCGGCGATGGGGTCAGAATGCTCGTATGATCGAGGGCTTTTCGATGGATCTATCGGCGGGTTCTTATTCGAAAAATCGAGCGAGTTCGTGGTGTCTGTAAGAAATTACTTATAAGAAGACTTATAGTAAAGAGAAGAACTGTGCTGCTTGAAGTCAGAGACTAGTCTGAAAGAGACATGAAGTGAGCTGCTGATCTGAAGATCAGATGCAGTGACAGAGCTGAGAGAAGTGAAGACATGATTATAAGCAGCAGCATCTCTACTTCATCAGCTGATAAAAAGCAATTAGAGAAGTTGTAAGAATGCTTATAAGAAGCTCAGTGACAGTCAGATATTGTTTATGAAGATATTGAAATTGAAAAATTTTTTATTCTTGAGAAGTTCTTGAATTAATATATAGATATTGTTAGAAACACTCTCTCTCTATCATCTGAATGAAAATACTTCACAGATGAATGAGAATACTCACAGTTTATAAGAATAAAAGCTGTTATAGAAAAAGAGAAAAGAAGATAAGATTCTGTAGACAGATCTGAGATATTTATACTACTTTAGAGAGATTTACTTACACTGTGAGTGATTCTGTGAAACAGTCAGATCACTCTAGTAAATAAGAGTGATTGTGAATCACAGATCTGAATCTTTCTATGTAACTATAAAGAGTGATTGCAGATTATAAATATCTTGATTGTACAATTCTATAGAGTTAATAAAAGAATGAAAAATTCCTCACAATTCTACAGTGTCAAAGAACAATGATTCATGAGAATGAGTAAAAGATTAACTTGTAAATACTTCTCTTTGATAAGAGTGATCTCACAGAGAGTGATTCATCTGTGAGATGAATCTATGTAATAATCATATAAGAATCTTATGAAAATAATTAAGAGTCAATCAGAACTCTTCTATATGAAAGATATAAGATGAATCTGTGTAATAGTCAGAGAAGAATCTGTAGATTATAAAGAATCTTACAGAATAAGAAACTGAGTGACAGACTCTTTTTTCTTTATGATAACAAGGAATTTTTTCTCACTGAGATTTTTATAGATATGAAGAGTTTTTAGTGAGTATCACTGCAGTGCTGAGCTGATTCTATGAAGTCACTCAGTGAAAGACTTCATGACCAAAGCCTTAGAGAGAGAGAGATATGTAAGAAATCTCACTTCTTGCAGATTCTTTATCTCTATTTCTATCTCTTATATAATCAATAGAGCTAGCAGCCCTTGACTACACATAACTATATAGACTGAAGTTCATGAATACTATTCATAACTTAGCTTGAATGCTATTATACATTTAATCTCTATATTTTATCTTTCTATCACAAATACTTCTAGTAGTTAACAGTACATATCACGCCAAGCTGTAAACACCCGAATAATCGCCTGCGAGCACTTATTCTTACATCTAGTATCTGTAAAATAACCTGCTAGAGAAGAGTTATAATATCTTTTAATAAGTTCTATATATAGAAACTTATTCACAGGTATATAAATTCAGCTCTCTCTTTGCAAGAGATTATTTAAGTCTCTTTAATTCTTTATTTCTGCAGAATTGATCCCTGCTATAAGCAGTTTTTAAATATACTGAGTATATTTATTCTTCAGTTACAGTTCAGATAATCTGAATAGAAGATCTTATAAAGACTTATACTCTGTTTTCTCTTACATCAGATCTTTCACAGCACTTCTCAAAACCTGCAAACTCTTCAGATTATAGATATTCTCTTCAAGAATTCTTACAGAGATTTTCAGAGTGTTGACTCTCAGTGTTATAGAGAGTAGTTATACAGGCTTCTTTTCTCTCTTTCTTCTCTTCTCTTATAGAGAATTAAGAGACTCTTCAGTCAATCTCTTTATAACACTCAGTTTAAGTATTCTGTGAAGCTTTTCTGTCTTCTCTAGTCTCTCTGTATCTGTTATTCTAATCTTCTTAATATAATCTGATCTGTGAGAGAATCTGTCTGCTGAGTTCTTAGTTCTCTTAATATGTTCTATCTTGAATCAGAACTCACTCAGTCTCTGAGCTCAGTAAATCTATCACTGCAAGAGTTTCTTAGTTGAAGTAAACTATTATAAGCTGTCATGATCAGTTCTAACAGTAATCACTGTCACAAGGCTCTTGAAGTAGTGATATCAGTGATAGAAGAATTTCACTATCATAAGAAGCTTCTGATTATAAATATCATAGTTAATCTCTGTGAATTATATCTTCTATGAGAAAAAGATCACTGAAACTCAGTTCTCATTTAACTGTAGTTATAAGATTATTTCTGAAATTATAAAGAAGAAGATATCTGTCTTCAATCTGATTAAGAGTAAGAGATTAAAGTGAAATAGCATTACTGTATCTATGAATATTTATTTTAATCTTATAAAGATTCTGTGAGTTTCTGAGATAAGAAAGTTCTTACAGTTCTCTCTTCTCAATAATCTTTTTATTCTTCATTCATAGAATGACTTCTTCTTATTTTCACTCTTCAGCATGTCTGTAAGAGTCAAGAAGATTCTTCTAAATATAAAGATAAACTATCTATAGAAATTCACAAAGCTCAGAAAGATCTGAATCTTATAAATACTAGTTAGCTTCAGTTATAATAGAATAGTCTTAACTTACAAAGATTTCATCTGAATATCATCTACAGTGATTATATATTCTAGGAAATTAATTTAATAAGCACTGAAGTTATACTTTATAAGCTTAATATACAGTTCTGTCTCATCTAAGATCTTTAATACACTTTATATATACTCAGTATGTTCTTTCTTCTTCACAGAGTACATCACCACATCATTCAGATATATTATTATAAAGATATTCAGATATACATAAAGTGTTTTATTAATAAAAGACTGAAATATCACAGAGGTATTAATCAGATCAAAAGACATCACTAAATATTTAAATAATCTCAGTACAGTTCTAAAGACAGTCTTTTATTCATTCTTAGATTATATTCACAGCTGTGTATATACATTGATTATATTCAGTTGTATGAATATAACAGCTCTCATAAGACAGTTGATCACATTCTTAATCAGAGATAGAGAATAGCAGCTCTTTATTATCTTAGAGTTCAGATTATAGTAGTTTATATACAATCTGAGATCTTCATTCTTTTTCTTTATAAATATCACAGAGACTTCTGTGAAGATCTGTAAAGATTAGATGAAGTCATTCTTCAGATTCTTCTTTATATAGATTTACAAGATCTCTGTCTTATAATAAAAGAGCTTATAGATTGATCTTCAGAAGAGTTTCTACTCTTCTATTAAATCTATTGTCAGATTCTTCTTATAATAAGAGAGAAGCTCAGCTGTCTTTACTGAGCTGAACATCTCTGTAAGATCTCAGTATTTCTCTGATATCTGAAGCTCAGTTTTTATAACTGTGAGATTCTCAGACACTTGTAAAGTCATTATATAGATGAGCTTGTCTTCTCTAATTAACTCTGCAGTATTAACTGATTCTATCTTTATAAGTGAGTCTGTCAACACTGATTGAAAGTATAAACTTAACTCACAGACAGCTATGTGTGAATTGTATCTTTAAAGTCATACAAGTTTCAAGTACATGTTATCTATAATATCTGTAATAATCACAGTTTCTGCAAATCTTCTTCAAATTTCAGAGAGATCTTGTAATTCAAAGATGACTCTTATAAGTCTCTCAGTTCTCAGATCTGAGTTCTCACACTCTGCTTATTATAAGAGTAGATTCTCAGTTTTCATCTTTCAGTCTATTTACTTCATAAGCTTTAAAGACATTACAGTGACCTGGAATTCTGAGTTTATCAATACTTTTCATACTTGCAGAGCAGCAGTACTGCAGTGCAGTCTCTTCTTATAAGTAAGTATTTTCATCAGAGAAGTAACAGATTCAGATATCAGTTTCAAGACTTTTAAGAAGGCTATTACTGACTCTGTCTGTAATTTCTCAAATTTCTATTTTAACTTGTTCAGACAGTTTACACAGAGATGTTCTGATTTAAAATAGATAAAGCAGAGTCTCTTTTTCTTGATCTCTCTGTTATACACTCTGTTTACAGAAGCTTGTGAAGCTCTTTCTCTCTACTTAGTAGTCAGATATAAATCTCTCTATATTTTATTATCTTTTTCTGATAAATCTGTTCTCTGTTATTCTGATTCTTATAGAGCTGATCAGTGATTCACTCTCTATAAGTCTGTGACTCTCACAGTGATCTGTAAGTAATGAATAAGAGTCATCAGTTTCTTCAGAGTCAAGAGCTTAGAGTCTTACTTAATAAGCTTGTTCTATATATCTTTATTCAGTCTCTTTATAAATATCATCATTCAGGTCTTGTTTCAGAGTCCTGTTTTCATAGATCTTAATTCATATCACAATTCTATGAAGTGCTGTGAGTAGTTTTCATCAGATTTCTTACCTCTTTTTCTAATATTAATAATCACAGCTCAGGTGTTCTCTGTTCAGCTCACAGAGTCTCTCAACTTATTCTCTAGATAAATCTTAAGAACAGATCAGCAGAATCTCTTATAATCATTCTTTAAATAATTCAGTTAATTTTTAACTTTGATATAATAGAGATCTGTTATTACATAGATAACAGCTTCTTCATCTTTTATATCACATAGCTGAGCTTGTAAGTCAATTTTAAATACAAACTTGTAAAAGCTTTTATAGATTGTGATTTAATAAGTAATCTTAAGTGATTGTAACTTAAGAAAGTTTCTTTTCAGTTTATAAGTGTCTCTGAAGATCATGTTTAGAGACTCAGTTTGAGAGTGTTTACAGACAGTAAGCATTTCTTATAGAAAAATAGCTTGATCTTGTAAGAGATGCTTAAGAATGTTCTTCACTGAGATTGATTTATTTATAAGTTCAGAGAATTCCTCTGTTGCAGATGTAGAGAATGATGTTTCATAAGTAATTAATAAGTTCTCTGAGACTTCTTTTATGAAGATTATTCATAATTTGAATGACTGCTTCTAAGTATCTGCAGTAGAGTTTGCAGAGATTGAAGTATGTAAGTTTCTAGTTCTTTCAGTTATAATAGATAGTTGCTGACTAACTGAGCTTGAAATGTAAGAATAAGTGCTCATAGATGATTATTCAGATGTTTACAGCTTGATA